CTCCCTGCCGAGCAGGGATCCCGATGCGGGACTCGATCCTGGGACTCCAGGATCATGACCTGAGCTGAAGGCAGTCGCTTAACCAACTGAGCCACCCAGGCACCCAGCCCCCTCCTTTAAAGTACAGCAGATAGCACAGATGATGAAGCCCTTCCAGTTGTCCCATTTCCTTACCCTCTCAGCTGCTATGTATAGTGAAGGGGTGGCCACTATTCTGTTCTATGTTATACTCCTGCCCCAGACCAAACAAGGGATCATTATAGGTGAGCATTTCCCTCTTTCCGTCTGCCCTTTCTTGAGTTAAAGTATTTTAACACACGGGTTGCTGAGGTGTATTATAGGTAGCTGCCTCCTCAGAAAAACGGTTTTTGTTTTTCACAGTTTGTCAGTTGACACTATTTGTTCTAATTGGAGTTTCCCTCTGCAGTTTGTTAGGTATAAGCTTCAGGTGTTTGACTCTCTTCAGTGGCTGACGACTCGACCACTACCTCTCAGGGCCTAAACACTTTTTCCTCTTGTTTCATAGGTTGAAGTTTTAACTTTGAGAAGGGCTAGATGTTGATTTAAGTCTCAAACCACTTTTGCAATGGAGTCAGACATGCTTAGCCAAATTTTTAAATAGCTTATGCCAGTTCTCCTGTGCCTCACAGGACCTCAAGCATACTTCAGTTAGTAATCATAGTAAGAACAGCAGCAGGCGTCTGTATTTGAGTGCTTCTGCTGTACTGGCAACTGTTCTAAGCACATCACGTATATTATTTCGTCTTTACAACAACCCAGTGAACTATGCACTCTTGTCCTTATTTCAAAGATGAGGAAACAGAGATGAGGCGGATTGCTCGGGCTGTCAGCAAGCAGCGGGTTGACCAGGTTTGACTAGGCATTCTTGTTCCAGGTTGGCATGGTAGGCCAGTGCCTTTCTGCCATTTGATTTCTGCATTACAAACATAAAAGACCAGAGCATCTCGTTGCCCCCAAACTGGGAAGGGATCCTCAGCGTCTGTATAGAGCGGGGTGGAAAAAATGTGTTACATTTTCTTTATATGATTAGGATGAGTAAAACAAAATACAAAGTATTAGGAAAGATATTAAATGCTGAGTTTGTATAAAACTTCAAAATCTTTTCAGGGTTTCTCATGAGAAAATTGTGCTTGCTTCCATGAACATAAGTTTTTAAATAATAGGTTTGTCCATAAAATAAGAATATACAATTCCTGATCCAGACTTTTAGATGAGGCTTTCTTCAAATTGAGTTCCCATTGAAATTTTGTTTGAATGAAAATGGAAAAAAACCATTTTTAATAACTATTCAATAATTTATATCAGTTGAAATTATTTTTAAAGAATCTCAAAGCTTTTCTCATAGAAAATGTAGTAAAGGATTTCTTATTTTTTTGTAGTAAAGAATTTGTTGTGATAAAATGAAAGGAGTTCAGAGTCGATTGGACTTCCTAACTTCGAGTGTTTAAAATGACAGAGGTCTTACTTTCAGAAAGCATATGCATTGTTTGAGCTGTCACCTTGCAGCTGAACTTTATGCCGTTAAAAAGGCATAGCACTGGCAAGTGGGAGGAAGTATCTGCTCCCTGTGAATGGAGAGCTTCCAGGTCATTACTTGGAAGCTTGCTCACTAGGAGACTTCGTGCGTTCCCACTCCGGACAGCAGCTGCCGCTCCCTTACTGCACGTGCTGCATTTGGGGTACCTAGAGCACCAACTCTCCCAGCAGTTCCCTGGGCCCGCCTCCCCTGATGGGCAGTAGTGCGTTCTACCCTGGCCTGATGAAGTAGATTTCCAGGGGCTTACGTACTTCCCTCTCCACGGTTGACAGGTAGCCGCAGAACAGCATGTGCAGGCACCGCCCTTTGCGGAGCACCCGATGAGACTGCTTGCATCTGGTGGTGGCCTGCCCAGCATCTCTGAATTCTCCAGAGTTTTCTTAGGTGCCCTAAGGATTCAGGGAAACTGTATTTGAGGATACGTTGGTAAGGAAGCTCTGCCCTGTGCCACAGAAAGAAAATTTTCTATGAGCTTTGTGGAGATGTGTTGGACTTTTGTGAACATTTAACTCAAGCAGAACAGTCTAAATGTGACATTCACGGTTTTGCTCTCAGTCCTAGAATGGAAAAGAAATTTATTTGTGTAAGGTATCAGTCATGATAAGGCTAGGTTATACTGTAACAACAACCTGAAAATCTCTGCAGCTTAAAGCAGCAAAGTTGCTTTCTTGCTCAAGCTACGTATCTATTACAGTTTCAGACCCATCAGACCTGACGGATGGAGACTCCATCTCAACATACGCTTCAATCACAGAAGCAGGAACCACGTTCTGGCTTTTAAAAGCTTTTTGAAGCTTATATTTCACTGGCCAAAATAACTCACATGGTCATGCCTCCGTTCAGTAGGAGAGTGGTGCATAATTCCCCTTCAGGGAGGGTCAATGAATATTTGTCAGTGGCTAACCCATGCAATTTACAGTCCCAACAGTTAAAATGAAATGTAATAATAGTTGTTGAACAACTGTGTAGGATCATTGTACCTAAAGTACTCAAAGCAACTAAAACTTAAAGGATTTTTAACATGGCATGTTGAAGTTGAAGTAGAATTAATGCTTTCCTTACTGTTTTTGAGTCTTGAACTTCTTTTTCATTTTGTAATATCTTCTCCCTTGTAGTAACTTATAAAGCCTTAAGTCTCATGCTTGCAGCAAAGATTTAAGCCTAAAAATATGTCATGATTTAGCAGTATGATGTCCTTTCTATATCTCATGGTATTTTATCTTGATTTGCATATTTTTGAGCATAGGAGCAATAGGTCTTAACACGGTATTTATAATAAAATACTTGTATTTAATAACTACTAGGTGGTATCTTCAAATATCAGCTCTTACTTTGATTTTTCTTTATTTTTAACAGAAAATTCAAAGATTTCCAAATAATTTTCTGGATTTTTGGGTTAAAATGGAAGATTGCTTTTCATTTTTGTTCACTCCTAAAAACATACAAACTGTAGTGTGTGGTTAGCTTTCAAAATGGACCTCAGTGATTCTCACTTCTAGTATTTGTACTTTTGCATAGTCCCATATCACATTGATGGGGGGGAATCTGTGTAAACGAGAGGATATTTTGGAAGTGACAGTAGCTATTTCGGATATGGGTACTGTGGCTTGAGATAGATATGTTAAAACTATAAAGAAAAGCAAATGATTGACACAAAAATCAGGATAATAGTTATCTCTGGCCAGGGGGAGTTGGGATGCTGTTGACGAGAGGCAGGGGGGGTTAAAATTCTCTTAATCTTAGTGCTCGTTACTTGGAGTGTTCATTTATTTACAAACATTTTTTATTCGGTTGTGTACTTGATACATTTCAAAATAAAAATGAACAAATTTCTGAGTTTCACAATCTGTTTCTTTTTGAATGGAAAGAGTACCAAGTCTTCTAGTAGTTACAGGGCTTCTTACTTTGAACTTGGAGAGCAAGGTTCAGCAAACCTAGGTTCAGGTCGTGACTCTGCCACTAACTTGCAGAATGATCTTAGGCAAGTCACTTACCCAGTCCAAGTGCCAGTTGCCTCCTCTGTAAAACTAAATGATTAATGAATTGGGTTAGATATTACTGTAGGACCTTTCATACCCTAAGTCTGAAAGTTCTCTCAGGGTACACTGGAACTAGTGAAGCAGAAGATAATGTGGAAGGTGATTTTGATAAGTTTCCTTTGGATGAGGAAATTTAAGTTCTGTATTCTGCTGTCAGTTCTGTGACTTAGTAGCAGTCTCCAAAATCAAACTTAAGGCGGTATTTTGTATATGATATGAGTGTTCTTCCTTTTCTACTCCTTTTTTCCCCATCTTGAAAGTTGGAGACTAACATGGAGTTGGACTAAGGGTCTCTGTATGCAGTGAAAAATACTCCTACCGCTGCATATTGATTTAGGATGCTCTCTGTAAATATGTATATATTACAGCAGTATATTTAAAAGAAGAAAATCATGAATTTTTGAAAACCATATATGGAAAAATGAATACATTTTATTGGTGGTAGTCTTGCAATAGTTGTCTGTGAAATCTCATTCTACTTTTTTTCTATTTTATATTATACAATTTTATATTATTTACTCAAGTTAAAAAAGAATGTTATTGCCAGTAGGACTATGGGTATGAATCCAAATATGACTAAATTCAGTGTCAGGAGGAAGTGTGTGTGTGTGTGTGTGTGTGTGTGTGTGTGAAAGATTGTTCTAGAATCTAGAACAGATTTTACTGATTATGTTTACTCATCTGCCCCCTTTTCTCCCTCCCCACAGGAATTATTCTTGATAGAAGTATTTTAAAATAGAAATCTTTACAATGGCCTCAGCAGTACTTAGTTCTGTTCCCACTACTGCTTCTCGTTTTGCCCTATTGCAAGTAGATAGTGGCAGTGGATCTGATTCTGAGCCTGGAAAAGGCAAAGGTCGGAATACTGGAAAGTCTCAAGCAAGCAAATCAACCACAAATGAGAAAAAGAGAGAAAAAAGAAGAAAAAAGAAGGAACAGCAACAGAGTGAAGCAAACGAGGTAACAATTATAACTACTTGTGTCTGCTGTCCCACTATAAGTAGAAGTCCAAACCAAGGAGTGTGCAAGGGCCAGGCTCTCTGTGAGACTGTGTGGAACCCTTCTCAGCCTCTTCCTAGCTCCTCGTGGCTGTCAGTCCTTGACATTCCTTGGCCCGTGGCTGTGTCACTTCAGTCTGCCTCTGCTGTTAGTTGGCGTTCTTTATGTATCTCTGTCTTCACCTCTTCTTACAGGGACAACAGTTGTATTGGATTAGGGCCCACTCTAATTCAGTGTAACCGTGTCACAATGTATCTTGATTACATCTTTGAGATCTTATTTTCCAAATAAGGTCACATTCACAGACACCCGAGGGTTTCAGGCCTCCGACATATCTTTTGGGGGATTACAGTTCAATCCATAATAACCTCTCACCCTTTTCTCTCTTGTTTCAACTACTGCATCTCAGATAATGATGATGGTGATGATGATGATACTGTTGTTGGGAGTGGTTTGGCCAGTCCAGTTTTAGCTCATCATGTTACTTTGTGGTCTAGGTCCTGTATTTTTAAGGACTAGCAAAGTAGTTGCTAGAGTTGTTTAAGCTATTTTCTCTCACTTATATTTAAACTTTTAAATTTGTAAGCCATTAAACTTTAATCTTTGAATCCCATTATTTTGCTTTTTTAAAAAATTAAGTGTAGTTGACAAACAACATCATATATATATATATCTTAAATTTATAATGTTAATTATAAGAAGGGCACTTTTTAAGTACTCTGCCTCTATTGACTCATTTATTCCTCACAACAACCCTGTAAAGGTTATTGGTAAGGTAAATTGTATTATTATCCCCATTAAAAATTTTTTTCTTTTATTTGAGGGTAATTGACACACAATACTATGTTAATTTTAGGTGTACAATATAGTGATTCAACAAGTTTATCCATTATGCTATGCTCACCATACAATGTCATATTAGTTTCAGGTGTACAACGTAGTCAGGAGCACACTTGTTTTCCTATTTTCTACTCCTATAAACTTCATCACTTAAGTAATCGGAATCATTAAAAAGATGGTATAATAGATTACATTTCCATTTGCACTTACTAAATTGTTAGAAACCCACCAACATTATCTAAATACTGAGGAAATTAATATTTTACAAAGATTAAGAAAAACACAGTGATTCTGAGAGTTAGCATAATGAATGGAATAGTATTTAGAAGTATAAAAATATTACTGATTTTTAAAAAAATCATTAGTATTCCAGGATTGGTAGTCTGAATTTAATATGCTTTTTGTTTGTTTCATAGCTCAGGAATCTTGCTTTTAAGAAAATTCCCCAGAAATCCTCCCATGCCATTTGTAATGCTCAACATGAGCTTTCATTACCAAACCCAGTGCAGAAGGATTCACGAGAAGAAAATTGGCAAGAGTGGAGGCAAAGAGATGAGCAGGTACAGTTAAGTAAATCAAATTATTTTGCTTTGTATTTCAGTGAATTTATGCATTTTTAAAGTGGCAGTGCATCCGAGTCCATGACACCACTATTCTGAGGAGCATTTTGTATTGGATTAATTCACACATCTTTGTGCTTTTAGTAAGAGGTTCTGTTTTTCATCCACTAGGGAAAGATTGATATACTTATTATTTTGTTAGCTTTGGCCATTCAAAGCAGTTATTTTGTGAGGTTTCAATTCATCTGCCTTTTTACAAATGAGGGAGAGATCAGGAAAGTAGAATAACAGGATTAAATTATTTCAAGTAAAAAAATCAATATTTGTACGGTCCAAGGTCTCCTGTTAATACCACAGTTTTGCTTCAAAAAGAAAGACTTTGAAGGGAAAGGTTTCCTTTTCAACTTTTTTTTTAAAAGATTTTATTTATTTATTTGAGAGAGAGAGCGTGAGCAGGGGAGAGGGGCAGAGGGAGAGGAAGACTCATCGCCGAGCAGGGAGCCCGATGCAGGGCTCGAGCCCAGGACCTTGGAATCATGACCTGAGCCGAAGGCAGACGCTTAAGCTAGTGAGCCACCCAGGCACCCTCCTTTTCAGCTTTGATGTAAAATAGTTTATGGCATTTGTTAGTTTCTTTAACCTATTTACATGATACCTTGTGCCTCTATTAAATAAGTATCATTAATAATGAAATCAAATAGATAATTTTTAAGACCAATCAGTTTCTTTTGGCGTTTGTGCTATTCAGGAAAATAACATACTAAGCCTGGAATGTACTCTAGGAGATGCTGTATGTATGGGAAATGAATAGTAATTTATTTGCTTACCTGTTAAACTGGCAGTTGATCTGTTGGGAAGAGGTATTGTTCTAGCAGGTGTTTGGCTTAGTAGAGTGCTATACCTATCATGCTTCGGTTACCAGTTTTGAAAGAATTAGAGTATACTAAACTGCACTCTTAGCACATAAACTATATTACTTATAGCATTTTTGTTAGGATTTTGTAATGCCTTAGGCCCATCGTCACAAGTGTCAATTATTACACAAGAGCTGTGCACAAATGCTGCTTAAAAGATATTTCCAGGCAGTGGTATACTGGATAAATCATCTTGTGTTAAACTCTCTAGTTTTTATTTGATTATTTCCTTTTTCCTTCTGCAGCATTCATTATCACAGATTCTTCTGGTTTACAAGTATAAATGTAATGATCTACTTGTTTAGACAGTAATAGAATTGACCAGTGTCTTCACCAGAGAGAATTTCTCCCAGTGGCCCAAAGGGTACTGGAAAATTAATAAAGGAAAAATACACAAATTTGCACCAAAATAAATTTCATGTAATGTGGGAACTTGAGCACAGATATTTGATTGCCCTTCTTACTGCCCCCACTGAATGCTGCCAAAATGACCAGGTAATTATGAAAGGAAATAGTTGACTTGGCCCTGACCCTGTACAAGAATGTTATCCCAGACTCAGGAACTTCGAAGAACTTCTGCTGGATATACTATTGATGGGTCACTCAGAAAACCTGGTACCATATTTGGAATCCTCACTTGCAGAAAAATAATCAAGGTCATGGGAAATAGAGTAGATCCTCGGATAATTACATTGATAAGTGAAGAATGGATAAGGGCAGGCCTTGGAACAGATGGACAGTAAACCATTTGGAATCTATTTTACTGTATGGTATAACAGATTTTATTTTATTATTTTTTTTTTTTA